GAACACTTGAAAATTGCCGAGGGTCTTGGCAGGCCATCTAATGATATTCCTCTGCCCATTCTTTAGCAATTGCAGTTCCCTGTGCTAGATGTTGTATGATCTTTACCGTATTTTTCGCACCATAGGACGCACTTTTCCCTCCTAAAAAGCAAGGGAAAATGTGTGTGCGTCCTATGGAGCGAATGCAGGGGGGGAGGCAGGCGGGAAAAGCCCCCCAAGAGCCGCACACAAGTTCCGTGCGCTCTTGCGGGCTTTTCCACAGGAGGGAGAAGGGTCTGACTGGCCGCATCAGTCCCTTCTCCCACCTCCCAGGAAAGCCAGGAGAAGCCGTGCAGCCCTTTTAAAGTGCGCGCGGCTTCTGCCGGTTTTGCGGGAGGTGGGGGAATTCCCCCACCTCCCAGAAAAGCCAGGAGAAGCCGCACAGCCCCTTTAAAGAGCTCACGGCTTCTGCGGGCTTTGCGAGAGGTGAGGGAATCCCCCCCCTCCCAGGAAAGCCAGAAGAAGCCGTGCAGCCCTTTTAAAGTGCGCGCGGCTTCTGCCGGTTTTGCGGGAGGTGGGGGAATTCCCCCACCTCCCAGAAAAGCCAGGAAAGCCCTGCGCAGCGTCTCCCGGCAAGGGGAGGCTGCGCGCGGCTAAAGGGGAAGGCAAAACAGCGAGCGGGATCCATCCCGCTCGCTGCCTTGCCTTCTTCCATAGCTGCGCGCAACCCCTCCGCAAGGAGACGCTGCGCGCGGCTAAAGGGGAAGGCAAAACAGCAAGCGGGATCCATCCCGCTCGCTGCCTTGCCTTCTTCCATAGCTGCGCGCAACCCCTCCGCAAGGAGACGCTGCGCGCGGCTAAAGGGGAAGGCAAAACAGCAAGCGGGATCCATCCCGCTCGCTGCCTTGCCTTCTTCCATAGCTGCGCGCAACCCCCCGCAAGGAGACGTTGCGCGCGGCTAAAGGGGAAGGCAAAACAGCGAGCGGGATCCATCCCGCTTGCTGCCTTGCCTTCTTCCATAGCTGCGCGCAACCCCTCCGCAAGGAGACGCTGCGCGCGGCTAAAGGGGAAGGCAAAACAACGAGCGGGATCCATCCCGCTCGCTGCCTTGCCTTCTTCCATAGCTGCGCGCAACCCCTCCGCAAGGAGACGCTGCGCGCGGCTAAAGGGGAAGGCAAAACAGCGAGCGGGATCCATCCCGCTCGCTGCCTTGCCTTCTTCCATAGCTGCGCGCAACCCCCCGCAAGGAGACGCTGCGCGCGGCTAAAGGGGAAGGCAAAACAGCGAGCGGGATCCATCCCGCTCGCTGCCTTGCCTTCTTCCATAGCTGCGCGCAACCCCTCCGCAAGGAGACGCTGCGCGCGGCTAAAGGGGAAGGCAAAACAGCGAGCGGGATCCATCCCGCTCGCTGCCTTGCCTTCTTCTATAGCTGCGCGCAACCCCTCCGCAAGGAGAGGCTGCGCGCGGCTAAAGGGGAAGGCAAAACAGCGAGTGGGATCCATCCCGCTCGCTGCCTTGCCTTCTTCCATAGCTGCGCGCAACCCCCCGCAAGGAGAGGCTGCACGGGGCTATGGCTTCTTTAGCCCTGCGCAGCGTCTCCCGGCAAGGAGAGGCTGCATGGGGCTAAAGGGGAAGCCAAAACTTGGCTTGCTGCATAGCTGCGCGCAACCCCTCCGGCAGGGAGAAGTTGTGCGCACCCTGTACGCTGCTCTTTGGGGCTGGGGGGGGAAAAGTTTTTTTCTTGATTTCCCCCCCTAAAAACTGGGTGCGCCCTATGGTCCGGTGCGCCCTATGGTGCGAAAAATACGGTAATTGCATCTTCCCCTCCCTTCTTTTATTTCTTAGGTAATTGTGTTTTATTGTATTCAAGTTGCAACACAATAAAACACAACGTGAGAAATGAAAGAAGCAATAAAATACAAGTAAAAGTTGGTACGAGTATTTAACGCGATGGGCATGCTTTCTCCCGTCTTCAGCCACAAATCCACAGAAGCACGGCGGACCACCTGGATGAAGCTGGTGGTCCTGTCCACTAATTGCAGTTTGGGAATCCCTGGTCTTCCACTGAGTGCCAAAAGCTCTCTTTCGAGATTTCAGATGGGTCTCTCCCAGCCCTACTTAAGGACCCTGCGTATTGAACCTGACACCTTCTCCTTAGAAAGCTTGTGCTGTGCCGCTCGGCTATCACCCTTCTTTTTCTCTTGTCCCGCAGACAGCTCCCCCTTCCCTGCCCTGTGTTTTCTGTGAACGCCCACTTGGGCTTTGAAAACCGTACAAAACATTTTCTTCTCATTCTTTGCTTAAGGGGCCTCAATCAGCCACTAGTTGTAAACAAAACAATCTTGCTGGGGGAAATGTGCTTTCGGCCTCCTGGGAGGAAACACAGAACAGGAAGCATGAAGGGACTTAGAACTGAGAGCGAGATGTAGAAGGGGCCAAGAATTAGTAGGCAGAGCAGTTTGGTGAGGTCTATAGACTGGCATCTCACGAAAGAATTAAGTATGGAGTTGAGTGACAGTAACTCACTCTGCAGAGTTACTGCTTGGCATGCCGTACTGAAGCTTAAACTTCCACATAACGGTGATGTTCAGAAGTAGCAAATCTGTTGTGTGATCCAGCACCAAAATGTGAAATGGAATATTTTTTCCAAGCAACGGAGTAAGTATATTTTAAGGGTGGCCCTTTTGGGTTGGCACCTGCTAGCAATTGATAGACCGCAGTGAAAATGCCTGTTATTTACCTTTTTATAAACAGGCATAGTTTGGAAGGTATGAAATCTTCCCCAATCTGGTGCCCTCTGACTGCTTTCAACTACAATTCCCATCAACTCCAAGCCAGCACAGTTTGATGGCAGTCATGGTCCGAAACAGCTGGAGGACACTGGTTGGGAAAGACCAATGAGAGACTGGCATCAAGACTCAAAAGAGGCTGGATTCCCCCTTCCACCCACCTCCTTGGGGCTCCAGTAGAAACTTATGTTTGGAAGTAAATTCTGAATCTCTGCGTGTCCTGCTGCTGCGGGAGGGGTGGAGGGAAGCGGGACGCACAAAGGGAATTCTCTGGTTGACTCACAGCTCTGGCACTTCCTGCCCAGGAGAGGAGAAGTGGGGAGGAGAGACTTTGCTTGTGCTAGAAGGAGGGTCCCAGGCCCTAGGCTGGTCTGCCAGCCGGCCCATCTGATAAAATCCTCCTCTGTTGTTGGGTTTGGAAGACAAACCGGCTAATGAACAGCAGCACTTGTTGCTATTTATTTGCTTTGCATTCTTTAAACTTAAATAAGAGCAAATGATCACAGGAATTGCTTTATCCCCAGCCAGACCATTGGTCCATTGAGCTCAGTATTGTCTGCCCTGACTGGCAGCGACTCCGCAGGATTTTTAACAGGATTCTCGCCCAGCCTTGCCTAGAACCTTGTGGATGCAAGGCAGACTCTGCCATTGAGCTATGGTTCTTCCCCATATGAGTGGGGCAAAGAAAGTTGGGGTAAAAGGAGAGAGCAGGGCATGCGGGAGGGAGAGGAGAAGGACAACCCCGAATGATTAGTTTGGTTTGAGCTGGAATCTGCAGCAGCCATTCCTCTGAGATAAGCCCCACTGAGTCCAATGACACTTACGTCCAGGTAGGCCTCTGTGTGTGCACTTACTTAGTCCTACTGAACTCGGTGGGACTTACTTCCAAGTAGACATGCATTGGAATTGCACCGTAAACTGGCCTTTCTTCTCAAAGCAGCTCCACTTTGCTTGTGTGTCTCCTGCTTTGTTCAGAATCACCCAGAGTCTGTATCTTTATTTTTCTTTTGCGTCCTTTTAAAATCTTACATCATTTCCATTGCCTTTGCTCTCTTTTAAAAGGCACAGATGTGTGTATATTCGTCTCAGCGCAGGGTGTCTTTTCTGAAAGCTTCTCGTCTCTTGCTCAGCGGTTAGGCATGTCATTTTGTTTGCAAACAGCGCTTTTTATAAATAGGCCGACACAAGTCTCTAGCTCCAGGTTTGTTGTTTTTAACCCATTTCCCCCATGTGTATTCATGTTCTTTATTTGTGGGGAGGGGGAGAGCCAACTAATTTCACCTGTAAAAGAGGGAGCCTTTCTTCTTACTAGGGCACCAGGCAAGTTCTGTATACAGACCGGAGAGTCCTGCCTGGAACGTTCCACCCAGTGACCTTTGCTCATTGATAAATTACTTTCCTTTTCCACTTCAAAGGAGATCTTTGCATGAACTGGGCTGGGGCAGTCACATGGGCACCCTCACTTCCTTCTGAAGGCCAACCCTTTTTGGCTATAGCAGTGAAGGTGTCGCCTTAGTCTTAATTTAGAAAGAGGAGGTGCAATGGGCAGGGGGGTGGGTATATGTGGGGTGAGGAACTGCAAGACCGAGGGCCAGATGCAGCCCCGCCAGCCCTGCTCCACAGCCCCCTCCAATGCTTTTGCCTGGCTGGAATGTGTCCTTGAAGTGCAGTTGTGCTTACCTAGATGCGTACGTGTGTAGAAACCGTTTACTTTGATGTGGATGAAATGTACCCCAGGCCCTGTCTGCACTGTATATTTAAAGCAGTTTCAGACCCCTATTGCCCTGAAAGAGACTCAGTTCCAAGAGTCAATCCCTCTTCCCAGGGAACTCTAGGAATTGTAGCTCTGCGATGGGAATAAGGGCCTCCTACTAGCAACTCTCAGCACCCTTAAAACAAACTACAGCTCCCATAATTCTTAGGGAGAGGGAGAAACCGTGTCTTGTTTAAAGTGGTATCATGGTGTTTTAAATTTATGGCGCCAAGTATGGCCCCTCTGTGAACACTTCGCTCCGGTGATCCTTTTGAGCACGGTTTATGTGATGCTGACTGCAAATTGTACCTCTGGGAGCCATATTGTACAGCTTGGGGGGGGTGCCAGTTGCTGACCTCTCTCTACACTGTTCAGCTATTGGTGCCCTGCCATCCGCTGTCTTCCCACTTTCTCCCCATGCCCTCTCCTGCCCCCTGCTGGGCCGCCCTAACTCCCCCTCCTCTCTGCCTCTCTTGCAGAACGTGCTGGCCAAGGCGCTCTACGACAATGTGGCCGAGTCCCCGGACGAGCTCTCCTTCCGTAAGGGCGACATCATGACGGTGCTGGAGCGCAACACGCAAGGGCTGGATGGCTGGTGGCTCTGCTCCTTGCACGGGCGGCAGGGCATCGTCCCCGGCAACCGCCTCAAGATCCTGGTGGGCATGTACGACAAGAAGCAGCTGCCGCAGCAGCAGACGCCACAGACACCACAGCAGACGCCGCAACCGACGGGGCAGACCCCCCTGGCCTACACTCACCAAGGGGGCTACACCACGTCCCCCGCCTCCCAGTACACCTCTATGCACCCCTCCTTCCTGCCCCAAGAGGACAATGTCTACCTGGTGCCGGCGCCAAACAAGGCCCCGGGGGCACCCCTCCACCAGGGCACAGTGACCGCGGGCCAGTTCCAGTCGCCCCCGGGCAAGCAGCCCCCTGCCTATCCAAAGCAGAGCCCCTCTCAATGCCATGAGGTGTACCAAGTACCAGCTGGACCGGCCAGCCCGCCCCAGGACATTTACCAGGTCCCTCCAGCTCCCGCGGGGCTGGGGCAGGACATCTACCAGGTGCCTCCTTCGCTGGATGGACGGGGATGGGAAGCCCCAAAGACCCAAGGAAAGGTAAGCCTCTGAAGGGCACCTGTTCACTTGGCAAGTTTATGGTGTGGCCCCCCCCTTGGAGTACTGCGTACAGTTCTGATTGTCTCGCCTCGAAAAGGATATTGCAGAGTTGGAAAGGTTCAGAAAAGGGCAAGCAGGACGATCAAGAAGATTCTAAAGATCTAAAGGAAGGTTGCTGCATTGGGGGTTTTTTGGTTTAGAGAAAAGGCAAGGAAGGGGAGACAGGATAGTTTATAAAATTATGCATGGCATAGAGGAAGTGGATGGGGGTAGGTTTTTCTCCCTCTCCCGTTGCTAGAACTGGTGGACATGCAGTAAAGCTGAATTTAGGAAGATTCGAGACAGGTAAAAGAAAGCCCTTCTTCACACAGCACCTAGTTAAATTATGGAACTCTCTCTCTCCCAGGAGGCAGTGATGGCTTCAAATGAGGATTAGGCAAATTCATAGAGGAGATGGCTATCAGTGGCTTCTAGCCATGATGGCTATGCTCTGCCTCCACAGCTGGAGGCAGCAGTGATTCTGAATACCAGTTCCTGGAAGCCACAGGAAGGCTGCTCTTGAGTTTGAATCCTGCTTGCAGGCTTCCCAGAAGAGGCATCTGGCTGGCAACTGTGAGAACAGGATGCTGGACTAGATGGGCTGCTGACCTGATCCAGCAAGATGTTCTTATGTTCTAATGTTCCTTCAGAGCACCAGCGTGGGGAGAAAGGGCAGCCAGCACAATCCGAGAGGTGGGAGTGCCTTCCCTATGAGGACAGCTTAAAGCAGCCTTCCCCAGAGTGGGGCTGGTGGGAGATGCAGTCCAAAACATCTGGAGGATGCCAGGCTGGTATAAAGAAAGGATACCCTGTCCGCATGCCAGCGGGTGATTGCATGTCCAGGCCAATGAGGACCAACTCTGCCTTGCTTACGCCTGGGCAGCTTTGCAATGCATTTGACAGGCACACTGGCCAGCAAATCAAGCACCGATTCAGTATTCTGTCCTACTTCCCTTCACGCTGCAGGAGAGCTGTCTGATCTATTTTTAAATTGCCACTTGTGTGTTTATGCAAATGAAAGTAGATTATCTCTCCCCCCACCTTTTAATTTTAAGAAAAGCAGAATCAAGTCTTAAAATGTTGAAAAACCCCTTAGGAGGAAGAGCAGGAGGAGGGGGAAAGGAAAGGTGGGTTAAGTGATGCTGCTGGTTTCTTGCCCATCCCTGGCTTCCGATGTGAATAGGCAGAGGCAGCTCTCCCCACCCCACCCCACCCCCTCCGGGTTTCGCACGAGAGCAGAGAGTCAGGTGCAGGAACGATGCTCTCAGGAGGAATCCACCACTCTGCCGTCAAAGTGGGCAAGAGTGGCTTTTATTCCTGCAGTCAGACAGTGGTAGTAAAGTGGCTGTGAAGGCATTGTCTTGCGAGTTTTGGCACAGAGAAAGAGAAAGGGGCATAAATGGTTCTTGTTAGCAGTTGCTGAGCTGGGCGCTTTTCACGGCCGAGAGGAAAGTGCTTCTTCTGCACGGGGTCCATTATTATGAATTATCTGTACAGCCTCGCACGCCAGGGGTGTCCAGCATGATGCCCTTCAGAGGTGGTTGTTGGGCTCCAGCTCCCATCAACCCTGACCATTGGGCAGGCTGGCTGCAGAGGCGGACGGGAGCTGGGGGCCCCAGTGACATCTGGAGAGGGCTACATCAGCTGCCCCTCAGACACATGCAAGGAGAAACAGACGCAAAGAAGCTCCCTGTCCCACGGAGCTCATAGTCAAACTGTGCCTGTTGAGTTCAGGTGCGTGGGCATAAATGTGAAATGGTGGGAGGCCGTGGAAAGAAGAACAACAACGAGGAAACGCATGCAGGTTGCTGTTGTTAGAGCACTAATGAATGCACTGCTGATGTGCATGGCATTCAAGACCACAGTCAGCTGCCCCAATGGGCTTACAAGGTATATTTTAATATAGGAGAGGCAAGAGGAGAAAGGGGGGGAAGCAGAAGAAGCCATTCTTATGTTTAGCTAAAGTAAAGGTTGGGGAAGAGGGAGTTGTAGCAAGGGGTGGTTGGTGGTCATAGAATTGTTGAGTTGGGAGGGACCTCAAGTGTCATCCAGCCCAACCCCCTGCAGTGCAGGAATCACAGCTAAGCAATGCAGTTAACTAATTTGTTTAAAATATTTTTATCCTGGCAGGTAAGCATGAATTGCTAAAACCGCAATAGAACACTCATACATAAAAGTCTTTCCGCTGAACATCAATAGTAACACCAGAGGAGCCTGCCTTAAGCTGGCTCCTGCTGCACCCTGCTGGCCCTGCTGGCCTGGGGGTTCCTGCAGGGGGGAGAGAAATCCATTTGCAACACCAGCAGCCACGCTTCAGACTGCAAAGATGCCCTGGGATTTTTCAGCCCGCCTTGCTCATTGTGGGCAGGCAGCAGCTACCCCATTGTGGCAAGCAATCTACTACTGTCTGCTTTTAAAAACTCTTTGCTTCTCTACACGGGGTCAGAGGCAGTTAGTGTTCCTGGACTGCTGGGGCTGGGTTGCCTTCCCCTACCCCCAAGTGCTGGTGCTTGCATTCCTTACTGGGAGCTTCCTGGAGATTTGCACCAAGGCAGCCTTGCCTCCTGCCTCCGCTGCCTCCCTCTGCAATGGAGGGTGGAGACAGGGGCGTGTGTGTGTGCTCCAGCATGGCTTTCCCCTGGGGAGGGGGGGTTTGCAGCAGGCTGTGAGGAGCGGTTTCCTGTTTCTCCCTGGGAAAGGAAATGGCCTCCCTCTGGGTGGGAGGCCTCCTTATCCATCTCTGAGGCTCCCTCAACTTGGTTCGTGGGCAAGCCTGTTTCTGGATTGGAGACGGATAAGGCTCTTGTAGAGGGACGTGGGTGGCACTGTGAGTAAAAGCCTCAGTGCCTAGGGCTTGCCGATCGTAAGGTCGGCGGTTCGAATCCCCGCGGCGGGGTGCGCTCCCGTTGTTCGGTCCCAGCGCCTGCCAACCTAGCAGTTCGAAAGCACCCCCGGGTGCAAGTAGATAAATAGGGACCGCTTACTAGCAGGAAGGTAAACGGTGTTCCGTGTGCGGCTCTGGCTCGCCAGAGCAGCGATGTCACGCTGGCCACGTGACCCGGAAGTGTCTCCGGACAGCACTGGCCCCCGGCCTCTTGAGTGAGATGGGCGCACAACCCTAGAGTCTGTCAAGACTGGCCCGTACGGGCAGGGGTACTTTTACCTTTACCTTAAGGCTCTTGTAAGGAGGCATGGCTGGGCATGGCTGATGCCTTTGGTTTCTCCCAGAGTGCCATATCAAAATGTGGGGTCTTGCAGTGCAAGGGGAGAGCAGAGGGTTGGAGCGTTTGGTTTGCCTGCGGAAGTTCCCAGATTCAGTCCCCGGTAGAGAACCTCTGCCTGAAACCCCAGAGAGAGCTGCTGTACATCAGAGTGGGCCATACTGAGCTAAGTGGACCAGTGGCCTGACTGAGACTGTATACATGTACTATCCCTGCCCCCAAAATCATGACAGTTGTTGTTATGCCTCGCAGAGCTACAGTTCCCAACGCTCTAAACAAAGTATAGTTCCCAGGAATCTTTGGGCTGGGGAGGAGAAATGTGCTTTAAATGAATGGGGTATACACAGCCTCAGTGTAAGGCAGCTTCCTGTGTCATACCTGAACCCCAGTTTCATTCAGAACCTTGAGGACTGGAACCTTCGGATTGTATCCAGTGTTAGTATACACAGGTCCTATTTTACAAACACAAGGCGTCCCCCAGAAATCGTTCCTTAGGCGAGCGTTTGCATAACCTGTTGACGATTTCCATTGATTCCCATGAGGAAGTTTCCAATGCATTCCTGACCACGGAATTTTCACCCCCGAAAGCAAAAACCAACCAACCTGGGGAAACCCAGGGAAAATGCTCTCTGGTTAGTCTGTTTGCTCCCCTTGCCTTCCTCAGCCAACTAAAGGCAAACAAGGACATGACAAACCTGGGTCTGTTAATTTCCGTGTGTCTGCTCTGAGCCGAACGTAGTTAGATACAGTCCTTGTTTTATATTTAGGAGGTGGCTCACAGCTCACTGGCAGAGCTCATGCTTTGCATGCAGACAGTCCCTGGTTCAATCCCTGATGTCTCCAGGTAGTTGAGGCTCTAGCGGCCTGAATCTCTGGAAAGCCACTTCCAGTCCGTGCAGACAGTATTGGGCTGGGGAGACCGATAGTCCTGTGTGTTGTGTGTTGGCAGTAGGCAAAGCACCCGGCATGCTTGTCCTCTATTAAGTAGCCTCTGCTGCTGCTGCTGGCTGACCTTGAAGGAGATTCGGATGGAGCAGGCCTGGCAGAGCAGTAAATGATTCAGGAAAAAAGCTTCTCTCACTTGGCAGCCGGCCAGGCCTGCCTGCCTGCCTGCCTGCTAGGTCCCCACCCACGCCTCTTCCTCACCGGTGACCTTGTTGCTTTTTCCTGCCTTTGAGGGCAGGCCAAAGGGGTACCATACAGGGTGTGTTTGTGTGTGTGTTTTGGGGGAGTGGCTCACGGTGGTGCTGTGCGAGTGGCACCACTCTGGGAAGCCTGTGTTGCAGCATGTGGCTGCTTCTGTGCCATGGGAAGATCTCCATTTTTCAGGGCAGTGCCACGTTAACATATTGCCTTTATATCCCACCTTTTCCTCTGAGGAGCTCCAGGTAGCATGCAGGGGGTCTTCTGCCCTTTTTAGGTTAGGCTGAGGGGCAGTGCCTGGCCCCCAAGGTCATCAAGGGAAAGCTTCGTGGCTAAGCGGGGATTTGAACCCTGGTCTCTCCCAGGTGCTAGTCGGTCACTCTAAACCAGTGTTTCTCAGACTTGGCTGTTGTTGGACTACAATTCCCATCCTCCCTAGCTAGCAGGACCAGGGGTCAGGGGTGGTGGGAGTTGTAGTCCAGTAACAGCTGGGGAATTTTGACCACTGACCGTAAGTGAAGGTTCTCCTAAAGATACGAAGCGATGACATCAAGCACACCTCTGGTTCAATGGCTGCCATCCTGAGAACCACCACTTTCCCTTTTCCAAACAAAACAAGTTCCCACACCTTATGGCTGTGGTGTTTGGAATACGTGGGCTGTGCATGATGAAATCTTGAAGTCCTTGGCAGGCTCTGTTGGCTTGAAAACCTGCAAAATGCGTATTCCCACCCTCATGAGCATCTTATTAACTTGCTAATTGTATGTTGGTTTTCCTGCTTCTTTTTATTTTTGTTGCAAAGCATCAGATCTGTAGATACTAGCATCCCAAGTGTCTTGGGAGACCTTAGATCTGGGGTATTACATGGGAGAGGTTGCAAATTTGCTATGGAGACCATTGGTGGTGCCGCCACCGCTGCCGCCAGCTCTTGCCTGGGGTCGTTTGTGGGGTTTGGGATTGGGGGTAAGTGGTTGAAATGTGACATAGTTGAACTATGGCACTCGCTCCCACAGGAGTGAATGATGACCACCAACCTAGATGGCTTTAAAAAAGGATTAGACAAATTCATGGAGGAGGAGAGGGCTATCAGCAGCTACCAGCCCAAAGGGCCATTCTGTGCCTCAGTGGTTGGAGGCAGCAATGCTTCTGAATACCAGTTGCTGGAAACCACAGGAGCGAAGAGGGCTCTTGTGCTCAGGTCTTGCTTGCGGGTTTCCCCACAGGTACCTAGGAACAGAATACTGGATATGATGGGCCATGGGCCTGATCCAGCAGGGCTTTTCTTGCGTCCCTATGTTCTTAGGAGTGCTTTGGCTCACTAATTTCTGTATACCAGACCTTGCAGACACCATGTTTTGCATCCATCCCCTCTCTGACCCACCTGCCATTTCTGAGGTCCCCATTCCAGGAGGGCTGAGTCTTCATTAGTGGCTACTGGGCATGATGGCTCTGCTCTGCCTCCAAGGTCAGAGGCAGCAATGCTTCTGAATACCAGTTGCTGGAAACCGCAGGAGGGGAGAATCTGCCCTTGTGCTCAGGTCCAGCTTCCCTGAGGCACCTGGGTGGCCATGAGCCTGACCAATAGGCTCTTCTTGTGTTCTTACGGCATGCAGGGGCAAATTGCCTCCTCTCTGAGCTTCAGTGCTTTTGGCAGCTCTTTACCCTACCCCAGGCAGATCAGAAGCAGGATAAATAATGCAGCCTGAGTGCATTGTTATAATTTAGTTAGCAAGAGCCGGCTTTTGCAAAGACTCATTCCTGCTTAACCTTGTAGCGGAATTCCACGTTTTCGTCGTATTGCACTCTGACTGTGCGCAAATGCGCTTGGAGACTCCTGCAGCCTCTGGCTTCCAATGCCTCTCTATGCATGCACTCCCCCCCCCCTGCAAACTAGCGGCAGCCGGGAAGGCGTCTGCGGCAGGGTCCCTCGCCTCCCCCCCCCCCCGCGCGCCTCCAGAAGCGGCCGCCCATGAGGGAATGAGCGCACATTGTGCTTCATCTCCAAGCCCTTCATTTGCTCAGAGCCAGAAATAGAACATGATGTCATCCCTGCCTCCCCTGGAGAAGGGGCTCCTGCTGCAAGGTGCCTGGAGGTTCCTTCCAGACGGGGGCTGCCTGTGGGCAGGCAGCACCCTCTGCTGGATGAAAGGACAAGCTGCATCCTATGTGACACACACAGAGGCTATTTAGGAGAATCTCTTAGGGAAGAGCTTGTTGGATCAGTGGTGTGTTCTCAGTACTGTTCGCCCCAGCATGAAAAAGCTCTTCAGCAGCATTTGGGCATAAGGAAGCAGCCAAGAGGTCACGGCACTGGATAGTGCATTGGACTTGGCTGAATGCTTGGAGGGGCGCTGATGTCTCCCCACCCCTGGCTTTTCAGGGTGACTTTGAGCTAGTCTTTAGGGCATCTCTCAACCCCCGTAAAAGTGATGGTGGGGGAGGAAAGGATCCTTGGTGAGTGCCATAGGTGAGCCTGACATGTTGCGGTATCTCAGACACATTGGGGCCACCAGAGTTAGCCTCAGGCAAGTGGAGGTCAGACCTGTGACTTTCCCAGCCAGGCTCCCACCTGCCTAGCCCAGCAAACTTTGTCTCATCCACACACCCCTTTTCCCCCTGTGCAGGTTGTCGTCCCCACGCGTGTGGGTCAGGTCTACGTCTATGACTCCCCCAAAGGAGAGCAGGATGAGTATGACTTTCCCCGCCACCTCCAAGAGATCTACGACGTGCCCCCGACTCGGGGTCTACTGGGGAACCAAGGCAGCCAGGAGGTGAGTGATGCCCTGCCGTCTAGAAGTGGGGGGAGTCTGGTTGGCAAGGGGCCCACGCATGTGGGTTGGTGGTGAAACCTCTGCTTCCAAATCACCAGCCCTCAATGGGTTTCAAACTCATTAGACATTAACGTCTCTTGCTCTCCTTTGTTCCTTTTGCCAGGTATATGACACCCCCACCTTGGCAGTCAAGGGCCCCAACAGCAGGGATCTGGCTCATGCCCAGGATATTTATGATGTGCCCCCCAGTGTGGAAAAAGGCCTGCAGGTGGTGAGTATGGCATGCATGGTTTCCGAGGTGTGGAAGTGGGGAGGGCCTCTAGCTTCAGTGGCAGGGGCTGCGGTGGGGGGGGGGCTGCCCTAGTACTTAGGAAGCCATTCTGACCCCAAGGCAGAGTAGAATGCGATTGACCCGGAGGCAAAACAAAAATTGCCAAGAAACACCCACCCCACCAAGTACACTCTCCGAAGCATAGGATTGATTTATTGTGTAACTTAAGAGAACCAGTTTTATGGCCACAGAAGTTAAGAAACAAAAAGCTGAATGCTAGACCCTGCCCCAGAGCCTCTTGAGGGCAGAGGAACTACCAAGAGGGGCACCCCCTTGCCGATCTGGGCACCTTAGACAGTCTTTAGGGAAAATATCAGTCTTTGGGGCCCAAGTGAGCACCTTGAATGGGGCCCAGAAACGAACTAGCAGCATGTTACAAGCTGAGGGGGCTACAGATGTGCTGCTGGGTTAAACGCCAGCTTTAATACCCTCCTGCAGGTGTACGACATCCCCCCATCGGTCAGCAAAGACGTCCCTGATGGCCCTGCGCGGGAGGAGACCTACGACGTGCCCCCCGTCTTCTGCAAGGCCAAGCCGTTTGATCCTTTACGGCACCCGCTCATCCTTGCCCAGCCCTCTGCACCGGCGGCAGAGCCTTACCTGCCCGAGGATGTGTACGACGTACCTCCGGCCGCCAACAAAGGGGTTCCCGAGGCCCAGGAGATATACGACGTGCCGCCCGGCCTGAGGAAGCTGGCGAGCCAGGAGGTCTACGACGTGCCGCGGGAACTGCCGGTGGGCAGCAAAGACGGGGAGGGTGACTACATCTACGACGTGCCGCCCCAGGTGGACCGGGAGGGCAAGGCGGGCGACGGCAAGCGCCTCTCGGCCTCCAGCACGGGCAGCACCCGCAGCAACCACTCCAGCTCCTCCCTGGACATGGTGCCCGTCAAGGAGGCCCCTGACAGGGACTTGCACCTCGACCAGGACGTTGCCATGGAGACGCTGGCCCGGCTCCAGGGCAACGTGGGCACCGCCGTCTCCTACCTCATGTCCTTCATCAGCGGCAGCTGGCGCAGCCCTGAGCAGATGGAGGTGCAAGCGGCCCGCATCCAGGGGGCGGCCGAGAGCGTCCGGGGGGCGCTGCGGGAACTGCTGGAGTTTGCCCGCGCGGCCGTGAGCAGCGCCTCGCAGGCCTCGGACCGCTCCCTCTACGCCAAGCTGAGCAAGCAGGTGCAGAAGATGGAGGACGTGTACCAGGCTCTGCTACGGCACAGCCAGGCTCTGGATGCCTGTGGCTGGGCCCCCGGCGCCCTGGTGGCTGGCAAGCCGGGGTCCCCGCCGGACGACCTGGAGCACCTGGTAATGTACTCGCGGGGGGTGCCGGACGACACCAAGCAGTTGGCCTCCTTCCTGCACGGGAACGCCTCCTTGCTCTTCCGGAGGACCAAGGTGCCCCCCACCTCCCTGGGAGGGGATGGCAGCCTCGCCCACGGCACCCCGGCTGACAAGGCAAGCAGCATCCAGTCCCGGCCCTTGCCCTCTCCACCCAAGTTCCTGACCCAGGACTCGCCCGAGGGGCAGTATGAGAACAGCGAGGGCGGCTGGATGGAAGACTATGACTACGTCCACCTGCAGGTGGGGTTGGGCGGCGGGGAAGAGGAGGGGTGTGCTGTGGGGGGGGGAGGGCAGAGTGCACACACACATAACACAGACAGAGCCTCTGAAGGGGCAAGCCACCACCGGGGGAAGATGGACAGGTGGGGGGGGCAGGCCTCGCTAGGTCCTCTGCGTCCGTTCCCAAAATCCCATCATCCTCAGGGGTCAAACCCCTTGCTAGGTTCCAGCCCCCAAGACATACTCCTTGGAAATCCAACCAGAATATAATAGTTCTATATTTTAAAAGCCTGGCACCAGGCTAAGTTTTCCATCGTTATCATCTTCTATATATCTTCCACCTTTCCATCGTTAAGCCATGCTCAAGGCAGCTTACCACATGGAAAGGTTCACATCATTGCAAGAATATAGCGGTGAATGAAAACATAAAGTGTAAACAGCAAAATTAAATCTTCCTCACGTAATTCATAATAAGATCTAAAAACAAGGATACAATACGTCAATATCAACACCAGCAAAATTAAGACCTCCAAAATTGATTTTTTTTAAGATAAGGAGCTTTGTAGCCCAGGTGGCAGAAGCAGGAAGGCCCCCTCTTCTCTCTGCTCTTCACCCACTTTGCCTTAGGTTAAGTATTGCCCTTAATATACAAAGCCTCTGAAGATTTTTGGGCCCTGCACACACACACACACACACACACAAAAAAAAAAAACCAGGCCCTGCCTGCAGGTTTATAATCAAATAATCTGGTCCAGCCCTTTCATGAGACAGGGTGAGGCAGCTGCCCAAGGCAGATGTGCCCAGAGGCTTGCTGCCCTCGGGGGCTGTAAAGGCTGCTGCCCCATTACCAGTGCTGAAGTATGTTCCAGCTGCTGGTCTAGTCAGTTTTGTATGTAGAATAGCAGGAGCTGCCATTGTCTTCTTTGCCTCAGACGATAAAATATCTTTCAGCTCAACCAACGAGTGTGCCTACCAGTCACGTCTTCTGCAAGACTCTTGTTTGGTTTTGCTGCAGCAGACTAACACTCTTACCCCACTGGAATTTGCACACAACCACCTCCAGTGCCGCCTCTGGTCCCTGCCAGGGAGAGGCTCTCAGGGTTGTGGTGGCCTTTTGCCAGGTCAGATCATGGGGCTGTCTTGCTCAGGGCTGTCTCTGTTGATGGGTGCTGGTGCTCCAGACTCTCAAGGTAGCCTTCTGCTGGAGATGTCAAGGTTTGAACCTGGGGACTTTCCTCCTGCCAGGCAGATGCTTGAACCACTGGGGTATGGCCCTTTCCCAGCGGTGGAAAGCTGAAAAATGGGCAGGTAGGAAATGCCTTTTTGCACTCAAGTCACTGATCCAGGTAGCGCAGTGTTGCCTACACCTGCCCTTACCAACCAGGTGTCCACCAGATGTGCTGGCTGGGGTTGATTGAAATTGCAGCTCCAAAACATCTGGAGGGAGCCAGGTTGGTGAAGAGTCCTTTTTTGGATGCCTTGGCCAAGAACCTTTTCAAAGTGAAGGTGCCGGGGGCTGAACCTTCTGTATGCCAAGCAGATGCTCTAGCACTGATGAACTGGGTTCCTTGTGCTGTGGGTCTGTCTCTCTGGTTTCACCCGTACTAACCTCCTTTTCACCCCTTTAAAAAACAACTAGGGAAAGGAAGAGTTTGAGAAAACCCAGAAGGAGCTGCTTGAGAGGGGAAACATCATCCGGCAAGGGAAGGGGCACCTGGAGCAGCAACAGGTGAGTAGGGTGGGCTTCCTGGGTCCAGCCCCACCACTAAGGCTTTTGCCAGGCACATGTCAATGGCGCATGCACAACATGGTCATCGCCTGTAATGCTTTTGGCAGGGTATCAGGCACTGGGGATGAGTTCATGAAACAAATGGGGCAGTGGCCCAAAAATGTTTGGTGGCCACTGATGGTAAAGGATGCCAAGGTAGCTTAAGCAGGGCAGGCCATGTGGCACTCTCCACTCCTGCCTCTCCACCTTCACCTCCCGTTCACTGCTTTCAAAAGTCTGCTGCCCGAGTCTACATACTCACTCTGCCTAATGATAGGGCCGGGTTGTGTGGATCTGTGGCTTCCAGGATGCCACCACATCCCAGTGGCAAAGCCCAGGTCCCAGGTAGCCCTGCGGGGGAGGAAGCTGGCTCATTTTGTCACAAGCTGGGGGGGGGAGCGGAGCCATTTGTCCTCGACAGCCCACCCTTGCTTGACGGAGCACCCTGTGCTTTCCCCCCCTGTCCGCAGCTGAAGCAGTTTGAGCGCCTGGAGCAGGAGGTCACGCGGCCCATCGACAACGACCTGTCCAACTGGACGCCCCCGCAGCACTACGCCCACGTGCGGGCCGGGGACGGCGCCTCCCTCTGCCCCTCCGACCGGCAGCTGCTCCTCTTCTACCTGGAGCAGTGCGAGGCCAACCTCACCACCCTGACCAACGCCGTGGACGCCTTCTTCACGGCCGTCAGCACCAACCAGCCCCCCAAGATCTTCGTGGCGCACAGCAAGTTCGTCATCCTGAGCGCTCACAAGCTGGTCTTCATCGGGGACACTCTCTCGCGCCAGGCCAAGGCCCAGGACGTGCGTCACAAGGTCACCCACTACAGCAACCTGCTTTGCGACATGCTCAAGGAGATTGTGGCCACCACCAAGGTGGCCGCGCTACAGTACCCCTCCCCCGCCGCTGCCCAGGACATGGTGGCACGGGTCCACGAGCTCGCCAACAGCACGCAGCAGTTCCGGATGGTGCTGGGGCAGCTTGCGGCCATGTGAAGCCCGCCCTTGGCTTCGTAGGGGCGGGGGGAGGCCTGCCGATGATCCACACCCACCCACCCAAACACTGCAAATGGGCTGTAAATACTTATCCAGACTCTCCTGGGTTGGTGGGCTGGCTGCTCCCTCCCCTCCCTCTATGCTCCACAGACAATGGACCTTCCTGCCAGTGGTTCCCATGTGCCTGATGTGGTTCACAAGGGAGGATCTTGATGGCCCTGATGGCAACCGGGGAGAAGGTGGTGGAAGGCAAATAGTTATCCTTCCCCCTCCCCCACACCCTGTTTGATTCTGAAATGGTTTGGCTAATGAGCACTATTTAAATCAAATAAAGAGACATAGAATCCAAGTAATTAGGGGGTATGGGAGAAAGAACGGTGTTTGTGTGTGTGTATTTCTCTTGCCATAGTTACATCAGTGCCCTTATCTGTGGAAGAGCCTTGGGATGCCAGCAAACGAATTTGCCCAGGTTGTTCAGTCGACACAGAAGGAAGGCGATCAATTCCACAAGCAGAGAGAGAATGTGTGTGTCTCATTAGGGTTGTCAACCAGCCAGCAATTTGGACTAAAACTTTGCATGTCCAAAACAGGGAAGAGCGTTCCAGCTTCACTACCATGCCTGGACGAAATGTAAACTGCCACTGTCACAGTGCAAATACACAAAGCTATGGGCTGCGGCCGCATTTGGAATACTGTGTACGGCTCTGGTCGCCTCTGGATATTGTAGAGCTGGAGAAGGTTCAGAAAAGGGCGGCCAAAACAACCGACTCCCCTGTGAAGAAAGGTCGAAGCATTTGGACCTCTTTAGTTCAGAGAGAAGGCTAGAGAGAGGTGGCGTGATAGAAGTTTGTAAAATCATGCATGGCATGGAGAAAGTGGAGAGAGAAAAGTCTTCCCTCCCTCTCTCCTGACGCCAGAACTCCAAGGAAGCTGAATGTTGGGAGTTTCAGGACAGATAAAAGAAAGTCCCTTTTCACCCAGCTCAGAGTGAAACTTGGCTTTCCAAAGCTCCTTCTGTGGTGTTCATCCTTTCCTCTGCTCATTGCCATTTCCCTTTGCTCTCTTGAAGCATCTCAAGGTAGGGCCAGGAGTGTCCCCTTGTCTCAAACCCCAGGGAGCTGCTGCAGGGCCCTGTAGGTAAGACTGAGCCAGGTGGACCTGTGGTCTGATTTGTATAAGGCACATTCTGTTATTCCTAGTTGCCCTGGGCTGGCACATGGAGAGGCTGTGCCTCCATAGAGAAACTGCCACTTTTCAGTGTTTGGAATGATCACGTCTTTATGCTAAGGCACTAACTCTGGGCAGTAACCACAGGGCCAGGAGTAATAACAATTTGCATTTGTAACATTGGCTGGCCTGGTACCTTCTGGGTAGGGACCTGCCCTTAAGATCCTGTTATGTTGACCTTCAAATTTAATCATGGTTAAAAAACAACAACCCTGAACTTGGCTTCCTTGCTCCTTTCAAAGACCCAGGTAGACTCAGTAGCTTGGCTGAGCCTGGCTGGAGAACAGGGTGGTGGGCAAATGTCAGGGCAATGGCAGCCTGGACGACTGACTGCCTTATCAGCAGCTAATTCTAACTCCTCCTCTTGCCCTTTCCCCTTCCAGAATCCCACTAACTTGAGTGGAGAAGCCACTAAATGACTGGGAAAACACTGTGGGGTTTTTGTGTGTGCGTGTTTTGGTGTGTGTGTGTCTTTTTGCCATCAGTTAAAGAGCTAAACATGCCGTAGAAAAACTGGGGGCTCATACATCACCATTTACACCCCCACATTTGGAAGATATGTTCACATCTTAGCAAGGAAAGCTGGAAGTGGTTCTCTGCTCTGCTGTTCCTGAGTGGAGCAAAGGGGCCTGTGCAACCCAATGCAGGTTTACTCACAAGTAAGTTTCACTGACTTCCGGGGAGTTTACTCCCACAGGATTGCGGCATGTGAGAGCCTTCCACAGTCGCCGGCTGTAGCTCAGTGACAGAGCCCCTGCTTTGCATGCAGAAAGTCCCTTGTTCAATCCTGGACACCTCCAGATTGGGCTGGGAGCAAACCCTGCCTGAAACCCTGTCACTGTCACTGAATATAGATGAGAGCAATGGTCTTGACTCTATAAGGCTGCTTCCTATGTTTCTGGGTGGCACGGGTCTGGCTTGGGTTTTTGGATTAGTTAGCAGCCACCTCTGCCTGTGAATTCAGCCTCGTCACAAGTGTGACTTCCCCCCCCAGGTTGCTGTCTAAGAATCTCACTGGAAATAAGCCGACTGACCACTATTAGTAAAACCACTGCATCTCCATCTGACCACAGGACAGGAACTTAGCCCTTAAGACCAACCAACTTGAATAAGAAATTGCACAGCTGCCCATTCTCAGCATCCCTCTGGAGCACCCACAAGAACTGCTGCTGGGGGTGCAGTTCTGGGACTTAGATGGTAGAAACCAGTATGCATGCAGAAGGCTCCAGGTTCAATATTCAGGACTGAGAAAGAGCCCTGTCTGCAACACTGGAGACCCACGACCAGAGATCGAGGGGAGCCCCCAATGGTCTTAAAGTCTATGTAAGGCAGCTTTCTTTGTTTCTGAATAGACTTGAGAGGGTGGTAGAACACCTGCATTGGACTGCGCTTCCCCTATATTTTAAGGCCACCCAAGTTGGTGGCCATCACTGCCTCCTGTATAGGGGAGTTCCACAGTTTAACTATGCACAGCGTGAAGAAAGACTTCCTTTCATCTGTCCTGAATCTTCCAATATTCAGCTTCATTCGGCATGAGACCTCTTCCTAAACGAGGCTCCATGCACAACCTTGTATAGCCTTTTCTGGCTTGTCCAAACTCTTGATGGGGCTCTTCTGAGGCAGCTACAGGGCATTTGTAGGGCGCACAGATGGCAAAGCTTTTTCAGACTGAAGATTCACCACCCCTGTGAGGGCCACATGCCAGCATGTGCACACTCCCCCAGATGGGCCCATCACACAGCCTGCACACTTATGCACACGCACAAACACATCAATTTTGCTCTCTGGGGCAACGCTGGCATAGGAGGGTCTTGGCATCATGTTCCACAGGGGAAGCCATGCTATTGAGCCACTGCTTGGGGCAGTGTGTGGATGCGGGCATGTGCAAATGGCATGGCCATGCCGGCCTGAGATTAGAATGTATTCTGTGGCAGGAGCAATGCAAGAACAGGACACGAGATGAGTCTCAAAGGAGGAACAGCCTTTATTGATCCGCATCATCCCGTGACACCGGAAGCTCAGTTATTAGCCATGGTTTCGTCGGCCCAGGCACGGAGGCGGCTGACGCGGGCATACACAGCAGGGGTGGTGGTTGAGCAGCGGCTGCTGCCCCAAGACACAATGCCCACCAACTTCCAGACATTGCCTTCCTGGCACACAAGGGGTCCGCCAGAATCACCCTGCAAACAGAAGGCAGGCAGTTTAGACTTTGGGCAGGTGGGATGGGGTGGGGAGGGTGTCTTAGGCCTTCTGACATAATTCTCCCTCTAGCCCTTTTTTAGGGAACCAGGCAATCTTATGGGATGTTCACCCCCCACATTCTCTAAAGGTCGGTTTGCAGTTTTGTGTTCTCCCACACCCACCTATCACATGCCTTGGAGAAACTACAGATGAGTTGGCAAATATTCTTTTTCCTGCCGTGTATCCTTCAGTTTGAGGGAATCTCTGGAATCACAACCCCCCGGTCACTCCCTTTGTTGATTTTCAGTATTTTCTGTGTCTTCCTCCTGCGGGTTCCTCCCCACACCCTGATTTCTGGCTATTCTTGTTTTTGCAGTAAAAATAAATTGCCATGCCAACCAGTCCAATGTGAACCAGCAACGTGGTCCTGAAGCTTTTATAAGAGCTACTGTAATTTTAATTATCACATCCCTCCTTGCCACTTCTGCTGCTGCTCCCTGTTCAGTGGAGCTGAGAGATGAGTGACCATTTGCTCCTTAATTAATCGGCTTCCCCTCCCTGGGGTGCTTGGGGGTTTTGTGGGAGTGGGGAGAGGGTCAAGCAGCACTCACCATGCAGGAAGAAGATCCGGCTGCACCAGCGCAGATCATCAGGTCAGAGATGTTGCTGCCCCAGGACTTCTTGCACTCTTCATTGGACAGGAGGGGCAGGGCTGTTTGTTGCAGCTTGTTGGGGGTGGTGAAAGCTGCAGGAAAGAGGATCAAGTCAGCAATTGCTACTGCTTTACTGCACCCTGGTAGCTAAGACACCGTTTACTTATTTATTTAGATGCCAAAGTGGCTTCTAAGCACTTTAAAACGATAAAATCACTGAAAACCCCAAGTCCATGTTACCACAAGTCGATAATCAAAACTAACTGGGTTCCATTAGCTGAGCACAGTGAAGAAGAAGATGGTTTTTCGGGTAACCTGGTCCAGAGTTATTTAGAGCTCTGGTTGTAAGCAGCTGCCTTGTTACTAACAGGGAGGCACACATTGGCAAGGAGCACTTTGTCAGTGAGGTACCCCCACAGAGGGATCGTCCTTGCGTGGCCTAAAACACCCAGCTCCCAACTGCCACAGAAGTCTCTCCCTCCTAACAAGATAGAAAGCCAGGTTTGAAATAAGCTTGGGTCAAGAATTGATTTCCCACTGACGCTTGAAATGGCTGCTCACCTCACGGGCAGAGAACTGGCTGCCTCGGGGAGCTGCGCTCAAGCAGGTGCGGTGAGCTTTTGTCAGACAGACAGGGCCACGTTCCCTTCTGGGGGCCACATGATAGTGAAGGGGAGGGCCAAAGGCACATGTGCAAAAATCAAAGATTTAACTTTTGTACAGTGGGCTAGTTTACACACACACCTCTGCACTCTATCCAGGCAAACAGAAGGCTCCCTATATATCCCTCCCTATGCCCTCCAGCACTTCCCCTGCGAGACCCCCGACAGGCCCACCGTTGTAGCGTGTCTTTCCCCAGCCAGAGGTGGCACAAAGGTCTCCGCTCTTGAAGTGGTCAGCAGTGTCTGTCAGGCACACGGGGGACACAGTGTCGGTCATCTCAGCAGGGGTGGCCAGCTTGATGAGGGCAATGTCGTTGTTGATGGCAACGGGGTCCCACTCTGGGTGGGTGAAGACCTGGTGGGCGAGAGAGGCATTGTGGGTGCTGCAAGCAGGATACAGTGATGCATCTGACCAGAGACTAACAAACATATTGTGGTGTGTGCCTTCGTTGACTACAAGGCTAAACACACACATGGTTTGGGGAGAGGAGTTGTAAACAGTGAGGTCAGTGGAGGGTGACAGGCTGATAACGGCTGGCAGTGATAATTGTGTTAATTAACAAAAGCAGTCGATGACACAGACATCCTGGCACTGGCAAGCCAGTTAACACACACAGAGTCTATTTAGAGTGATAGCATTGAACCTCCTGATGTATTGTAACTGATTCTTTACGAACACCCAACCTCCAAGATGGGTAAGGAAAGAAGACAGACATGTCCACAGATTACTGCTTAAGCCTTTCTAGCAGGGAGATGGGGAAATCTTGTAGTAACCATTTCCCCACTCCCCAAAAGGTGTAATTTTCCCTCTACCTGACAAACACGACTTCTGATTGGCAGGAGTCTGCCTGTTGAACCAATGAATAAGAAGCCCTTGAAGATGAGCTGCGGCCTTCAGGTTTGTTCCTCTCAAAACACACACACACACACACACACACACACACACACACACACACACTCACCAACCTGCAGCAGATGCCAGAAGGTTCCTCCTCCAGTGGTGACCACAGAGCGCCAATTTTCATTGTAGTATTGGATTAAGTGGAGGATTAGTTGAACCAAGAATCATAGGCGCCGACTCCATGGGGCTTGAGGGGGCCCGAGCCCCCTCAAAAATTCGTTTGGGGGGGCTCCGCCCCCCCAATAATCTCCGGCGCCCCTCCAGCAGAGTGCCATCGCCGCCCCTCCCCCAGCCCAAAATGCACAGGGAGGGGCGGGCTGCATGCCTCCTGCCCTCCCTCCCGAGCAAAAGCTCCACCCAATTTCCTTTGGAGCTGATTAATAGGCGCAGCACGCTCTCCCCTATTCGCTCACGAGGAGGCGGCGCCACTTTATTTGCATATTCATGAGCTTATTTATTATTCATGAGCTTTCCCGGCCCCCCCAATATTTTTTATAAGTCTGCGTCCCTGCCAAGAATCTAGTATGGTGTTTTATTTCAAGTTTGAACTGCATTCTTGCTATTGTTCTCTCTCCCCTGCCACCCTCCTTCTTCCTTACAAGTAACTCCTTTTTTCAATAAACTGCTTAACTGGATTTTCTGGGCTGTACTGGTTTCTGAACACCCTCAAGGGCTGGTTAACATTTACTTAAGTGCCTGAAAGACTGAACAAAGCCCGACCTCTGTCTAAACCTTGCACAAGTAAATCTGGATGAATACCCAGTAAACATGCTATCTGGAGGAGCCCTGAGGGGGCCTTCCAGCTGCTTCACCCACCTTC